TAGGTTGTCTGTCCTAGTGTTTCAGTTGCTGCAGTTATGAAGCCGGGTACACACACCTGTCAGCCCTACTGATCAGTGCTTATGCATTTTCCTTTTCATCTATTTCTTTATGAACATGGTTTGCTTGCTCACAACTGTTATGCCCATGTAACTGTCATTAGCACGCCTGAGTGTTTATGCTTGCGAAGGTGTTATATTATTGCCCACTTTATTGTATGAAGTGGCCTGTGACATGTGTGTCATGTTTTTATGTTTGTCAAATAAATCCCCTTTTAAAAATGTTTTTAAAAATATGAAAAAAGACATCAACTATAAAAGGATAGAGCAGCTTTTATAAAATTCTAAGGATCTAAACTCATGTCACAAAAACTGTAAATTAACAATGTAATCATAGGCCTAGTACCACAGTTCATGACTATAATACCAGCACTTTGGGAGGCCAAAGTGAGAGGATCACCAGAGGCCAGGAGTTGAAGACCAGCCCAGATAACATAGCAAGATCTTGTCTCTACAAAAAAAATTTTTAATGGGCTGGCACATTTAATAGTGGCACACACCTGTAGTCCCACCTACTCTGCAGGAGTTGGAGACTTCAGTGAGCTATGATAACACCACTGTACACTAATCAGGGTGACAGAGCAAGACCCTGTCTCAAAAAACAAAGAAACAAAAAGCTCAATGTCATTATGTGTATAGATTATGCAGAAGAGATTAGCAGTGAGTAGCCCCACACTCAAAGAATCTAGCTGTTGGCCTCACATCAAAAACAGCAGTTTTGCAGCAAGTAACAACATGGCTTAGCTATCTGGGGAAAATGCTCTTGATACTCTTACCTAGGAGACTTCAAGAGGGAAAAATTACCCACCAGCCAAATTGTTACTCAAAAGTTATTCATTTAAAGTCCAGATACTTAAAGCATATGTATGCCCCTTTTAAAAATTTGTCCCTTATCAACATTTCTGACTGACCAGTTCTGATGACACTAGTAGCAGGACTTCTCATATACCTCAAACCTGGCCAGTTTACAGCCACAGGCAGGGGCAGAGCCTTGGCCAAGAAAGGTTAAGAGACAAGGAGAAAACAGAAAGTGAGAAAAGGAGGACAATGAATTAATGAGCAAGAACCTGTATTTGAAGGAAAACACACGGACATGGACAGATGATTCAATGGTTGAAAATGGGAGAAAACACTGACCAGGCATGAGTACTCTCCACCTGAAACTGGCATCCACATGGACAGTCCTTCCCCCTGGCTAGCACCTCTGGGACGTGTAGTTTGGTCGAGACCAGTTGGGATGGCACTGTAGAAGCACCAGAGAAGAGTCCCTGAAATCTATATATCCATGGTACTCTTTTGAAATAATCTATATTAAAATATTTTAGAGCCATAAGGTCTAAAATAGTAGTCAAGGTCTGATTTTGGTATAGAATAGCCAGAAGGCAACCAGTCAGTGTTCCCTAACTTCCTTACTGCTGTAACTGGTTATTGTTTAATAGCACTCTCCCCCCTGACAGGTACGAGATTGTGACTTCCCCCACTACCTCTATAGATAGCATTGCTATTTAAAGCCTAAGACTGGTGCTTCCATAGATAACATTGCTATCTCAATGCTGAAGACTTGTGATTCTATAGATAACAGCACTATTGTAAAGCCTAAGGACCAGTCTTTGAGTTCTTTTTCAGACTCTGCATTCTGCTGTCAGTGGGACCCACTGACAGCAACTAGACTTGTGAATATATGTGAGAACAGATCTAACAGCCTTGAGACTCCCTACCTCTGATATCTCCCAACTGAGAAAATAATTGGTGTCCCAACTCTTTGACTTCATCACTCCCTAATCAGCAGACCCAATTCCCTAACCCTTTGCTTGCCAATCACCTTAAAAAGCTTAGTCCCAAAATTCTCAGGGAAATAGATGGAAAAAATACTCCCATCTCCCTGCCTGGCACCTTTGCCACTGTGACACCTGTTGTTTCAGTGTTTCAACTTCCTCATAAGCAGCAGACAATGAACCTGGTTGGGCTGTAACATTTCTAGATGCTTCTAGATGTTTCTCAACCATCAAACTCAAAATATCTTTACTAATTTGAAATGTGATGATATAAGACACAGCATATTAAGACACATCACAGGAGAGTCACAGGTTCATGACAAGCTTAGAAAGAAAAACAAAAATAAACCAGAAGATGGAGACCAAGAAATTAATGAACTATTGATTTCATATCTAGTTATTCATCTTTTAGATAAGTACTATATCAATGAATAGGATATGTTGAATTATATACTTCTGTACTCTCAGTTTCTTATTATATTTAAAAACAGCAAGTGAGACAATGAAAAAAGTAAAAAAAAAACCATAAGTTTCTCCGAGAGTTAAAAAAAGAAAATGATTAAAAAGTAGTTTATAGATAAGGAAAACCATGTCATACATATGTTTTAGGTTTTTTTAACTGTTTGGAATTCATTAAGAGTACAAAGAATTAGGTTACACTGATTGCATTCGTTAGGTAAAGTCCCTTGTATAACTGTGTCCTGATCCCAAGTGGTGTGCCATACACTGTGACCCCCCAATCCCTCTCTACTCCACCTGCTCTCTCCTTCCCCCACCCCCCAGGTTGTATTAGATCATCTACTGCCTTCATATTAGAATTGAGTACATTGGATTCTTGCTTCTCCATTCTTATGATGCTTTACCAAGAATAATGTGTTCCAACTCCATCCAGGTTAAAACAAAAGATGTAAAGTCTCCATCTTTTTAATGGCTAAATAGTATTCTATGGTATACATATACTATGGGTTGGTGGGCATTTAGGCTGTTTCTACATTTTGGCAACTGTAAATTGAGCAGCAATAAACAGTCTAGTGCAAATGTCCTTATGATAAAATAATTATTTTTTTTCTGGGTAGATGCCCAGTAATGGGATTGCAGGATCAAATGGGAGGTCTAATTTGAGTTTTTTGAGGATTCTCCATGCTTCTTTCCAAAAAGGTTGTATTAGTTTACAGTCCCACCAGCAGTGTAAAAGTTTTCCCTTCTCTCCACATCTACACCAGCATCTGCAGCTTTGAGTCTTTGGGATATGGGCTATTTTCAGTGGGTACAGGTGATATCTCAAGGTGGCTTTGATTTGCATTTCTCTGGTGATAAGGAAAGATGAGAATTTTTTCAAATGTTTGTTAGTCACTCTTCTGTCTTCATCAGAGAAGGTTCTGTTTCTTATCCAGTGGTAGATAGGATTATTTCCTCTTTTTTTTGTTGTTGATTAATTTGAGTTCTCTGAGGAGTCTAGTTATCAACCCTTTGTCAGACTCATACCTTGCAAATATCTTTTTCCATTCTGAAGGTTGTCATTTTGCTTTACTTGTTGTGTCCTTAGTTGTGCAAAAGCTTTTCAGCTTAATTAAGTCCCATTGTTAATTTTTGTTGTTGTCACAATAGACGCTAAAGTCTTTTTCATAAAATCTTTCCCCAGTCTGACATCATCAAGAGTTTTCCGCACAATTTCTTCCAAGATTTTTATTGTTTTGTGTCTTAGATTTAAGTCTTCTATCCATCTTGAGTCAGTGTTTGTAAGTGGTGAAAGGTGTGAGTCGAGTTTCAGTCTTTAACATGTGTTTGTCCAGTTCTCCCAGCACCATTTGTTGAATAGAGATCCTTTTCCCCACTGTATGCTTTTGTTAGGTTTATCGAAAATCAGATGGCAAGTAGTTGTTTAAATTCATGGTTTTCTATTCTGTTCTATATGTCTATGTCTCTATTTTTGTGCCAATACCATGCTGTTTTGATTACTGTGGACCTCCTCAAATCCCACAAGTCAGAGGCAGAGCAGGGTGGGGAGTGGAAGCCTTGCTCTGAGTTTGTACCTGCTCCATCAGTCTCCCCAGCCTTCAGTTGGGTGAACAGGCTTCAGACCTCACAGTCTCCCCTAGGAGTCATACTTGCATCTGTTTTGATGCCACACCCCTGAACTAGCATTGCTGAGGAAAGGTTGGATTTGAAACCAAAGACAAAGTTACAATCTCTGCCTTTCCCATGTCTATGATCTTCAGCAAATCATACATCTTCACTAAGCCTCAATTTCCTTATCTGGAAAATGGGTATATACACACTTAACATGATAAGTAGTATTTTAGAAGTTCTTCATGAGGATTAAACTAAATTATGAGTGAAAAAAATAACAAGCATGATCTGTAACATGTTTGTCGGTAAGTACTAATGTCCTCCTGTCCCCTGCTACAATAATTACTCAGTACCTACTAAACACTGGACACTATGCTAGGACAGGCAGAGAGATACATGTGGTCCTGCCTCCCCACCATTCATATCCTGGCAGAGAGATAATTAGACGATTCACACCAAAAGCAAACACAGAGAATTGCTTAGGAACTGATTTTATCCTAACTCTGAATAAAAATCTCATTTCCCTGAGTAAACAAGTTAGAAAATAATAAATCCAGAAAAAGCTGAAGGGTAATGAAAAATTGTATAAGTATCTCCAAATTGAACAAAATGATCAAAATAATAAATTTTGCATTTGAATAAATAAAATCAAATAAAATATACATTCCTGGAATATGTACATATTTTTCTCTCTTGGAAAAAAACAAAACAGATATTTTACCCCAGAAGAAGAACCATAATGAATATTAAAGTTTCAGAATAAGGTATTCAAATTCAGAGTTAACTCAGCAACAGGACTAAATTGTTGGGCTCTACCAACATTGTTTTGCCTGCTAAACCTCGAATTTTTTTTTTTTTCAGAATATGACTTAAGAATAGATTTCTATGGATCTGTAGCTCCAACAATTAGGGAAAAAACACCAGCTTCCTAAGGGAAAGCTATACCCACAATCTACTAATTAGCTATTATCAGCTGCTTTCCGGCCCTAGAAACTACTCAAGGGATTCCCTGGAGCACAGTGAGGCATCTGTCCGACACACACCCCTGGGGCTCATCAGGACCCCAGAGTTGGCAGAGGTGGTGGGGCTTCAACTCACCAGCCAGGGCTGAGGGATCTCCGGCAGAGGCATCTGAGGAGGGGCTGGCAGGCTGCTCGTGGTTTCTTGCTTCTGAGCATGATCTTTCACTTCAAAACCTGTGTTAACCAAACCACAGAACTGAGTGAGGAAGATGAGACTACTAGCAGCCATCATTTTCTGAGCCCCTTGTTGAAAATGTTTGCAAAGTTTATTTTCTCTCCTTTTTACAGATGAAGAATCTATGGAAAAGAGAGGGAAAGGGAAGGAAGGAAGAAAAGAAAGAAAATAAGGAAGAAATGAAAGAGAATGGTTAACAAACCAACTGAAATACGACAAGCTAGAAACGATGGAGCTGGCCCCAGAGCTACACTCTCCTCAGTGCCCCGCTGCCTCACAAAGACAAGTTGCTCCACCTGAACTTCTACTCTGGACAGTACTTACCTGTGCACTAGGGGGCAGACATGTTCCTCAGAATCAGTAAGTTATTATTAAGTTCCCCCTCAAGTCAGCTACTATAACAAACGTGCCTATAGATGATATGAGTGATACGAGCTGGGACACCTCAAGCTGACACTTGTGTTTGGCTGGGAACACAAAGACACACACAACTAACTGTGAGAAGATGTGGTGAGCACTATGCCTGCAAAGGCAAAGAGGAAGGACCCAGCTTCACTTTGGGCACAACACTGTTTACATGCAGAGCTCCGCTGGGAAGACCTGTAAAAGTAACCACTGAACGATGATCAGCCAGTCCTGTGTCAAGCAAGGTGAGGAATCAAGTGCCTGACCTAGTGTCTGACCTGCGTTGCAATGGGGATGAGAATTTTGGCAAAGACCTGGAGACAATAAAAAAGAAATGGGCGGTGCCCGTAGCTCAGTGGGCAGGGCGCAGGCCACATACGCCCAGGCTCGCAGGTTCAAATCTGACCTGGGCCAGCTAAACAACAACAACTGCAACAACAACAAAAAAAACAGGTGTTGTGGTGGGCGCCTATAGTCCCAGCAACTTGGGAGGTTGAAGCAAGAGAATCACTTAAGTCCAAGAGTTTGAGGTTGCTGTGAGTTGTGACGCCACAGCACTCTATCGAGGGCAACATAGTAAGACTCTGTCTCAAAAAAAAAAAAGAAAGAAAGAAAGAAAAGGAAAGGAAAGAAATGGAAAAAAGAAAAGGAACACATGAAAACTGTACTGTTTTAAAACAAACAAACAAAAAAACCATGGATGGGTTTAAAGCAAATTCAAGAAGAAAAAACTCATGAATAGGAAAACATCAGAAGCTATATCTAGAAGGAAGCATGGAGACACAAGGGCTCAAACTAGCTGGACAGAGGAACAGAGAATGGGCAATCGGGCTGGGAGGTGAAAACCAAGGAAACCAAGGCACAGAGGACCAAACACAGCAGTGTGCTCATACCAGGAGTCTGGAGCAACTGAGAAGGGGAGAGGATGTCTGGATGGATGGTGGGACCACTCACTCAGAAAACAAAATGCCTCCTCCTATGTAGAGGAGATGAGATTGCAAAGTAACACAACCTCTACTAATAAGATAATGATAAAGATTAATGGCCAGTCTGCTTAATAAAAGCAATTTATGACAATAATTGTTGATAGCTATTGAGTGACAGCACATGTCAGGCACAGTTTTGAAATATTTTATCTCATTCAACCCTCACGACATCCCACGAGCCAGATGGTACTTAAGACTTTTTTATAGATAAAGAAGATGATGATTAAGGAACTAGTGCAAGGTCACACACTTGGTAATGGGCAGGGCCCACATATTATAAAGGGGCTTGCAAGGTGGCCTAAGAGCCTGGATTTTGACCATAGGCAAAGGGGGATAAATGAATAAGCACTATGCCAGCGAAGGCAGAGAGAAGATCCAAGGGCGAGTAGGGAAGTAATAAAATTATTACAAATGTGAACATTTCCTACTGACCCCAAAAGACAGTCCTCAACCTGCTTTCTTTCCCAAGTGACTGGTCTCACCATCTACCCAGGTATCCACACCACCCACATTAATCTGCTACCAGATCCTTTAGGCCATCTTCAAGACAGGCGAGCGCCCCAGAATACAAACAGAACTGTGTGATCCTGTGGCTCCATACACACGTACTAGAAACCAATCAATTTTATAATTTAAATGAGTGAAGTGTATAAGTTGTGAATTATATCTCAATAAAGATGTTTAACAGAAAAAGTCCTATATCTCCTCCAGAGCCTCCAAGATTCTGATATCATAACCTCCAAGAACCACCCTTCAGCCTCCACCACTCCTGCCTCTCACAAAACTGGTGTGGACTCTGCCCATGAGTGCTCTCACGACCCTTGATACTCTTAATTTTTCTGTATTAGCCACTAAGCATAGAAGAGCTAGTAGAGCAGGCCCAAGACTGCCATCTGTAGAGAAGTCTGCTAGCAAGGCTGGCCTCTGGCTGGCATTGAGAACTTGGATTTCAGAAGTACCCTCTCTGTTCCCCATTTGGTAAGGTTGGTTTTGCCTGTACAGTTTCAGCAAACACCTGCTTTTTCAGGTGTCTGGAATTCCAGCACATGCTAGGCAGAGGGTGCCTGCAGACCAGCCCTATGTAGAAACCTTGGGCAGTGAATTTCTAGTGAGCTTCCCTGACAAAAACATCACACACATGTTGCTGCATTTTTTGTTGCTGGGAATGAAATGTGCTCCATGTGACCCTCACGAGAGTAAAGGAGTATAAGGAAGCCCACAAATGGGCTTCTCCAGACTCTGCCTGGGTCTCTTCCCTTCTGATCAGCCAGTGGGTCCGTGTATCCTCACTACCAATGTAATGTATCCTGGGCATGAGTAAGTGGAACAACATGCCAAGTTCTGTGAGTCTTTCTAGTTAATCTCAGGATGTAGGAGTTCTCCCTTGAGAACCCAAACAAACTCACAATTCTCTTAGCGTCTTAAAGTCTTTATCTTCCCTAGAGTCTAACACAGTACCTGGCACAAGCCTGGGCCCTCAATCAAGACCCGATGAACAAGCAAGTTCCTAAGTTAAAGAACAAATGGATATGTTTTATAAAGATGGTGGAATTAAAGATGGTATAGAAACCAAAAGAGGCTGGAAGGATGACCCAGTGTTGGAGTGAGACTCACCTTTGGAGGACTGTATCCTCAGCAGAATGTTAGTTATCACTGCCTTTTTCTCCCTGACAGTTGATGTTAGATATTCATGGTCCAGGAGTTCAAGAAAGAGGCGCAGTTCAACTATTAACTCTTCCATTGCTGAAAACAAAGGAGACAGGAAGGGTATTATCAGGCCCATGGATCTGCAAATACCATGCTAAGTTTTACTCAAAGTATTTCATTTTTAGCTAGATTACTGAATATAGTACTCTAACATGAAAAACAAGTTTTCTGAGACTACATCAATTAAAAAATTTATATATCATCTTTTAACAAATGCACTTCTCCTTCACTTTTGCTTTGAGGCAGATAAATTCAACTGGGAGAAGCTCCAAAGCCATCTGCCAACAGATGGTGTCACAGCCCAAAGGCCTGACATCATCATTGGGTGTCAATTACATGATATTAAATTTCAGTGTCAAGAAGGAAAAGGGAGTTTAAAACACCAAATAGTTTTCAAATAACCACTAGGACATGGTTTCAGAAACTCAACGCCCAGCTCTGCTTTTGTACAGCTGGCCCCATCCCCAGGATGACTGTGAGCATGTTTGTTTATACAGTTATCATAAAGGATGCTGAATGTGCAGGAGCATATAATACAAGTTCAGCTGCTGAATTCCACCATGCTTCCTCCTTCTAGACTACAGCAGATTTGTCCTCTGATACCCGTAAGGCTGCAATACTGGCTATGTCAGCAATTCACACATGATGCTGTGAACCTCTAGGGATCTGAACTCCTCCTTTCAGAGAATCCATGAGGCCCAAACTACTTTCCTAACAGTAAGACATTATCCACCTTCTGTACTAATGGTGTAAAAACCAGGGTAAAACCACTAGTATCTTAGCACCAGTCAAAGCAGTGACATCAAACTATGCACTGGTCATTTTCTTCTTCCCCATACAGTCACAATAAAAAGAAAAACAGACTACTTTCACTTAGGAGTATTCTTGAGGGAGCAATAAAAAAAAATCATTGCTTTTGTTAAATTTCAAACCTTTAGGGCACACCTTTTTAACAGCCCAGGTAATGACATGGGAAGCAGACATGAAGCACTTCAACAGACAAGACACAATGTTCTCTAGAGAAAAATCATGCATGCTATTCTTTGAGCTGATGGCTACTTGAAGCCACTTTTGCATTCAGCACCACCTTCACTTGAAAGAATGACTGATGGCTAGCAAGGTACCTCATGCCTGTAATCCCAGCCGTCTGGGAGGCTGAGGTGGGTGGATTGCTTAAGCTTAGGAGTTTGAGACCAACTTGAGCAAGAGCGAGACCCCATCTCTACTAAAAGTAGAAAAACTAGTCAGGCGCTGTGGTAGACACCTGTAGTCCCAGCCATCTGGGAGGCTGAGGCAAAAGGATCACTTGAATCCAGGAGTTTGAGGTTGCTGTGAGTTATGATGATGCCATAGGACTCTACCCAGGGCAAGAGAGTGAGACTCTGCCTCAAATTTAAAAAAAGAAAGAACAAATGAAGGGCAAACTGTCATATTTTAGACTTGAGTATTTAACAGTCATTCTCAAAAAATGAACAATCGAGCTTATCACTCAGTGCAAGATAAACAACTGACAGCATTTGTGGCCAATGAGAAAAGCTGATCTTCCAAGTGAAGATAATAATTTTAGAAACTTATATCCATCATTATAAGAGCTTGACAGCCTCCCAATACTAATAGACTTTTCCCAATGAGATTAAAAGTAACATTGACAAAGGTGATTTTTTTGAAACTTGTTATATAATGTAATAGGTTACCACTTGGAAGATCTACACAACTCAGGGAATAATGATGTGGGCAAAAGATCCAGCTGAAGTCCATAATAAACTGGACTACTGTGATGTAACACAACATAGATGGTACAGCTTCAGATTTTGCATCTCAACGAACCTTTAACAAACTACCATTTGCCAAAGTTTGGTGTGGTAGCAAAGAATATCCACAATTTTCTAAAAAAGCTACTGAAAAACTCTTTTCTTTCCTAAATATATATCTGTGTGAGGCCAGAGTTCCTTCATGTACTTCCACCATAACGCCTCCTCACACAATCTGAAGGAAGGAGTGCGTGTGAGAATGAGCGATCTTCTACCACGCCAAATACTAAGGATACCGCAAAAATATATTCTCATTATCCTGTTTTGGTAAATGTAGTTACTTTTCATAAACACATATTATGTATGTTAACATGTGATTGCTTGTTATATTTGGTAAATATCTCAGGATATTCTCATTATCCTGTTTTGGTAAATGTAGTTACTTTTCATAAACACATATTATGTATGTTAACATGTGATTGCTTGTTATATTTGGTAAATATCTCAGGATATTCTCATTATCCTGTTTTGGTAAATGTAGTTACTTTTCATAAACACATATTATGTATGTTAACATGTGATTGCTTACTGATTTTTTTTTGGAGACAGAGTCTCGCTCTGTCCCCTAGGCTGGAGTACAGTGGTATCAACATAGCTCACTGCAGCCTCCAACAATCCTCATGCCTCAGCTTCCCAAAGTGCTCGAATTAAGGTATGCATCACCTTGCTTGGCCAAGCTTACTGATATTTGTTAAAGACTCAATAAATATCTTAAAATTTGCCTTTCTAAAATTCTAGTATGATAAATATCTACAGATAATATAATCACATAAATAAAAGCTCTTTGGGGTCCTCTAAATACATTGTGAGACCAAAAAGTTTGAGAACCACTGATATATACAAGTACTTTAAGTTCTTTATTCATTCATCAAACATCTGTCTTTTGTCAGTGATAAAAGTCATGCATCTTGTCTGAGGAAAGCAAAATGAAAATAACCCATACAAGTAAGTCTAAGCAAAAAAGTTTAAGAACTACTGTTCTATAGGATTCTTTCTAAATCTACTGTTCTGTAAGTCTATAACATCCTCCAGAATTAAAGGTCATTTCTGAGGCCACCCTTTTAAAATTACCAAAGCTCTCATAATTTTAGGTAAATGGGCAGAGAAATGGCAAATGAGCCAAAAGTAGACAAGCTGTGCCACTGGCCATTCACTTCTCCTGGTTGGGAAAGTTACTCCTCTATGAAATGAAGAAATTGGGGTAAGACTTTAAGGTCCTTCTCATTATTAAAATAATTCCTTGATGATTCTAAGTGGAAAACAATTTCATTTGTACTTTAAAAATGATGGGCCGATAGCATTATTCACAATAGCCCAAAGGCAGAAAAAACCCAAATTTCCCTCCACAAATGAATGGTTAAACAAAATGTACTACATACTATGTACATAAAATAGAGTATGATTTAGGCATATAAAGGAGTAAAATTCAGATACGTGCTACAACTGGATGAACCTTAAAAACATTATGATCCATTAAATGAGCCAGACACAAAAGTACAAATACTGTATGGTTCTGCTTAAGTGAGGTCCTCAAAGTAGCCAAATGCATGGAGACAGAAAGAGCAGTGGTTACCAGGGTTGGGTGGAAAAAGAACGTGGGGTTATTGTTCAAGGCATTCAGCGTTGCCATTTGGGATGGTAAAATGCTGTGGAGATGGATGAGAAGCATAGCACAACAACATGCATGTACCTACCGATACTAAATTTTATCACTAGGGTTCCACCTAACAGCATCAAAATTATCCAAAGAGAACCTAGAATGCACCTAACCTAACCTCTCACCTAAAACCTGAGCTCCCTTTACAGAGTTCTCACTGAGGACTTTGCACAAAGCCCCCAGAGCTTGGGAACTTGTTATGACCCTTGTCGAGCACCCACTCAGCCCACACTCTACACTTCTCTTGGGACAGAGCAGCGCCTTTCACCCCAAAGGTAGAGTCTTGGCAGCCCTCCCTACATTACAAGGCCCTGCATACCATCTCCCACTGCAAGGTTATCATTAACTGGACCACCCTACCCCAAGCTGGTCAATCAGAGCCTCTGTATCTTTTCCCTGGGGACCAAGAAATATGAGTCAGTTGGAATGGTCCCTGGACGTGAAAACATGGAAGGGCAGAAGCTGGGAAGCAGCCGCTGAAGCATGGGAGCCGCAGAAAGGGGATGAAGCTGACACAGGAATGTATGTAAGAGAGGAAGCGTCTGACAGACAATGACTGGATTCCCCAGATGCTCCTGCTCCAGTTGTGAAGCTGGGCTGCACTTGAATTCCTTGAAATAAATATGTGTACCCTTCTAGTAAACTTTCAGTTTATTTTTTATTAAGCTAAACTGTGTGGTTCTCTGTTCACCTGAAATTGCAACCAAAAGATTCTCAAAACGCAACTCTTAGCACCTCAGAAGGCAAAACATCTCAATATCAGAGAGTTGGAAAATTCCCAGAGAAGCATCTCCTTTGGGGATCTTCACAGACTAACTAAACCACATTTTATATTTGACAATCCTTTCAAATGCTTACGCTCATATCCTTTTACTCAGTCTTCTCTAATTAAACATTCCAATTGGCTCCCTCATTAACATCTTCCTTAACTACCAAAATCCATTCCCCTTTGAGCAGCTGCACTGATAAATGGACACTTATTGACCTTCAGGTTTATAGTTGACCCTTGAACAACGTGGGTTTGAACTGTGCAGGCCCATTTACACGTGGATTTTTTTTAACCAAATGCAGATCAAAAATACAATTATCCACCAGATGCAAAACTCACACATGTAGAGGAATGGCTTTTTATAGACCCAGGTTCCGTAAGACTGTGAACTTGAGTATGTGCAGACTGGCTATACAGGGGCAGGGAGTACAATCCCCTGCATATACTTAGGGGGCTATATTTGGCTTTAGGGGGAGGATTTTTTCCTCAAAATAGCAGATAAAGAGCAGGTTTTGTCCTACTCTTCTCTCTGAATACCTTACAACAGCTAGCAGTACACTCCACACTGAAGCATATATGTAATTTTTTTTTAAAGACACAGTCTTACTTTCTTGCCTCTAGAAGAATGCCGTGGCATCATAGCTTATAGCAACCTCAAACTCTTGAGCTCAAGCAACCTCTTGCCTCAGCCTCCCCAGTAGATGGGTGCCCGCCATGACACCCAGCTATTTTTTTGGGATAGGGCCTTGCCCTTGCTCAGGCTGATCTTGAACTTGTGAGCTCAAGCAATCCACCTACCTCGG